GCCGTGGTGTACATCGGGTCGGCTGGCAAACCTCACGAGAGAGTCGAACAGAAGGTGTTGCTCATGTCGGAGGGAGAGAAGAGGTGAGAGTGATTCGAACATCAAACTGTAAACATCAAACATCCTGTTTATTTTCTGTCGTACTGAGTTTGGTTGTGGTTTATTTGTGGTGCAGGAAGAAGCTCCTGGAGGTGTTGTCGCATGGCTTCGAGCCTCCAATCATCATCTTTGTCAACCAGAAGAAAGGTTGCGACGTGCTGGCCAAGTCTCTGGAGAAGATGGGGGTAAGTTACTGTAGATTTTAAAGCCTCTGAAAACTTAGTGTTCAGTATTTCTTTATAACATTAAGCTACATTGGTTAAGCCAAAAGCTAACTCCTGACTGGTGCATGGAGGATGTGACGAGCAAGAACAAAACCAGAAATCTTTCCTACAAAATACCTAAAACATGTAAGATCCCATCTCTAAGAGTAAGAAGCTGATTGAGGAAAATCAAATCAAATCAAGTTTATTTGTATAGCCCTTTACAATAGCCGAAAGGTACCCAAAGTGCTTTACAACAGAGCCATGTATATAACATACAAATACAATTTAAAGTGCTGCAGCTGATTTTCAGGGTCTTTAAAATCATCTTCTCCCTGCAGATGAGGCGATCAGATTTTATGAGGCTAGTTTTCGATCGCTGGTAAAAAGCTCTAAACCTCGAAGCTTCAGATTTTATTTCAGATTTGGTCGTCTCAGATTGCGTAAATGTATCAGCTTAATGTACTCTTCGTATTCAATCTTTCCATCATTCTAACAGCAGCTCTTTTTCACTACCATGAGCTGTGACATAAATGCACATTTAACAGGGTTTTTAATGTTTGTTTATTTTATTTCAGACATTCATGTTCCTCAGAGAATTAGACCTAAATGTTGCTAATGCTAACATCAAATTAAAATTCACTGTCATTGTGAGCATGTTAGTTCAAAGTAAAGCCTCATGTGGCTGTAGACTCTTATTCCTGTTTTAATGTAGTGACATTTTATCACAGATGTTTAGTATAGATGGAAATAAATCTGACACTATGAGAACCACTGGACTAAACCCTCTTTAAACGCCTGTCAGTCAACTGGATTTCCTAAAATACTGAAAATATGAAACAAAATTATAACGTCAGTCTTTTCTTCTTCACACAGTACAATGCTTGCACGCTGCACGGTGGCAAAGGCCAGGAACAGAGAGAGTTTGCGCTCTCCAATCTCAAGGCAGGAGCCAAAGATATCTTGGTGGCCACAGACGTTGCTGGTCGAGGTATCGATATCCACGACGTCTCCATGGTCCTTAACTATGACATGGCTAAGAACATTGAAGGTAAGAAGCCTCGTTCTGTCCGCACTGATTTTTCTTTATTGTCTGTATTTCTTCTTCACTTTCAACATACTACTGCTGGGTGCTATTGCTTCCTTTTCAAAATGAAATATTTAAAAAAATAGTTGTTTAAACACTATAAACTGACATAAAAGGCTCCAAATATAAGAATATAAGTATCCTATGAGATATTTCTCAAATGTTCTGTGGCACAAGAAGCAAATGATTTACTATTATTTGGGCCAGACTTTTTTTTTTTTTTTGAGAAATTGCGAGAATAAAGTCGTAACATTACGAGAATAAAGTAGTAATTTTATGAGAACTGTCAGCCTGTAGGCTCAGCCAGCAAAACTGTTTAACGACGAAATGATCAATACGTTAGTTTACCTGTTGACTGTACGACTGAGACAAACAGCGGCTGCTCGGCTCAGGGTGAGGCTGCTGATTGGTTGAGCTGGTCACGTCAGATCTTGATAACTGATAACTCAATCGAAGCTTTTTTCTCATTAAAACAAGTTTTATTCTCGTAATATTACAACTTTATTTTCGTAATTTCCAAAAGAATAAAATAATTTTTTCTCTTAGTCTGGCCCTAATACTCCGTTGTAGTTTACAGCGGTTGTTATTGCGGCGTATTAAAACAGGTATTCCGGCTTCATATCGCCCAGCACTACAACATACGTTTGTCTTGATAACATTTCATAACATACAATACACACAAATAATATGGGTGAAAAAATGTTGTATATTATTTTTGTGGTATGGTGTCGATTCTCAAAAAACACTTTGTGTTTAAACCCCCCTCGGCTAAAAAGCAGTGTTGTAAACGTGGGGCTATAATGTTGTTAAACTCAGATTTAACTTTTTTCATACTATAAAATCACTACTATAAAATCTCAATATATCGTCACACATTGAACCGTAACAGCTGTATCATGATACGTATTGTATTTCCAGATTCTTGCCACTACACAGCTCCAATAAAACACATGAAAGTTCTCTTCATGTTATTGTTTCACTCTAACTGTGCTTCCCCGCCCCCCTCTGCAGACTACATTCATCGTATCGGTCGTACGGGTCGTGCCGGTAAGAGCGGTGTGGCCTTGACCTTCCTCACCAAAGAGGACTCGGCGGTCTTCTACGACCTGAAGCAGGCTTTCCTCGAGAGCCCGGTCTCCACCTGCCCTCCGGAGCTGACCAACCACCCGGACGCTCAGCACAAACCTGGAACCATCCTGACCAAGAAGAGACGCGAGGAGACCATCTTTGCCTGATTTAGCCCCCCCCCTCCGTCTGTTATCGTACAGATTGTACTTTATCCACTGAACACACGCCTGGGGGTTCAGACTGTTGTATCTTTATACAAAACACATTTCTCCGTTTCGGTCTCAGGTTTATTTACACCAATTTCTCATGTTATTTTTCCTCCTTTGCTCCTATTACGTCAGTCAGAGTAACGCATTAACTGTTGCAGAAATCATCACGGCACTGGTTTTGGGATTGTAAAGGCTCAGTTTAAACATGTGTAAATGTTTGTTTTTTTGCTTCTTTATAAACAGGAGCCAGAATCAGTGATGATGTAACTGATCTGCACTGTATAAATGTTACTCTTCAGTTATCAAATGTGATAAATACCAGCCCTGATGTGAGCGTAGATGAGTGGTTAAGTGCTATATTGGGCATTTTTATTAATTCTCTGTCACCATAATTTGAGTTTCCTGACTGTTAGCGAGACCGATGCCAGAAGTGACGACCATTTCTTTTGCTTCAGATCCATCCTCTTGAGTCAATTCAGTGTTTTAAATATAAACATTTGTATGACGTGAATACAGCAGATTTAAGTAACACCTGGTTCGTAACTGTCTGAATAATGAATGTGAAAGAAACCGTTTTTTTTAATCTAAAATCATTGTTGAGTTGTTCTGATACCAGTATTGGAAATTCCTCCAAAACTCCCTAAAGTGCGGAATCGGGAATCGGCGAGTTCACGTGCATCCGATGCCACATAATGGTGCTGCTGCTAACCAGCAGTGTCCTGCTTGACATTTTTTTTCTTCCCAGGATAGTGAAATCATGACCCCACCCCATACTCTGAATCACAGGGTTTAACCTGAGTTGTGAAACAATGACTGCAATGGTACAGACTTATTAATATATGCTTATCTATTTTTTAACGCTCATGTATCAGATCAATACTCAAAGTTCAGGTATCAGGAAGGAACAAATTGTATTGAAACATCTCTAAAAATGAAATCTTCAAAAAGAGGAAATATTGAGGGCTCACACACAGAGGAGCAGGGTTAATGTGGAGTTTTGATTAAAAAATCTGTTTAATTCCTCATTCATCAACCAGTTTAAAAAAACAAATGGGTTTGATTTTTCATCAGGAGACGATACCTGAGTCTCACCTGTTGATGCAATCGTTCAGGTGTGTGTCCTGTTAGGATGACCGGGGTCAACAGGTGGTGGGAAGTGATCGGTGTCATATAAACATATCAAAAACAGAAAATGAAGGTAAACATTAACTCAAATGAAAAACCTACTGTACATATTGTTATTCATGTACATTGTTTTTAATTTGAGTTATCTTATGATGATTAATTAGAAGTAATTATGAACAAGCTCCTGTAACCAATAAAGGCTTTTAACCCGTGCTCCACATTATTCCTGCTGCTCCACATGTGAGTGCCTGCTTTGTACCTTCAAAGAGGTTTTTAGTTTTTTCTTTTTTAAAACCTCTGGTATCAAATGTTCATAGACAACTCCTGCCAACATGTCAATTTTTCGAGAGGAAAACTTAAGAAATAACACCTAAGAATTCATTATTATAAACTTTGTTTTTTGCTTATTCTGCCATGAATATATAGAACTACTTAAGAAGGTCTGAGGCCAAGTTTTCAGGGGCCTTGAATAACCAGCAGGTATTCCCAGAATCCACCTTGTTTGTGGCCGTATATGAATACACTGTGCTTACACACTGTAAAAGGTTGTACGTAATATAATCAGGTACAATTTTGAACAGACCATTTTAAGTTTTGTAATACTTAAAAGAGTGTAATGCCAAGCGTATGGCTCTGTGTGGGTGACAGCGCTGACTTCCTGATCTTTACCATGTTCACCATCTTAGTTAAGTGTGTTAGCAGGCTAAAGGGAGAGTCACTGGTGGACTCAACCTCTGGCCACTGAATCAGGGAGTTTTTAATTTAAATGTTAAACTTTTGATTGACTAAATAGAAAGTTCAGGGTGACAAATGTTATCACAATCAGGGGCGGATCTAGAGAAATATTCATTTGGGGTAGCCAGAGGGTGACGGAAATATATGCTGATTTAATTTCAATCACACAGATCAATATTTGCTTGGAAAAGAAATTATATTTGGATTCAAAAAGCACTGAATAGAAATATCTAAAGGTGGTTTCTAAATCTCAAAATACATTTTCATTTAAGTTTAACATTTCAAATGAATGTGTTAAATCTTGACACCAAACTAATGAACCCTAACAGGGAACATTAAAGTGTGTGTGTGTAACAGTCGTTGAGACATTTCACTAAAAACTTCTCGTGAAGTGTGAATGTCTGTAGAAAAAGTTTACAATTAAAGTGTACTGTAGTGAAACACGCAAAAAAAAAGGACTCAAACAATTAAAAGTACATAAAATGTCATGTTTATTTTGTTTAAGTCATATTTTACTTAGCATTGTAAATCTATTTTCAAATAGAAAGCATTCTATACAGCATCAGGCAGGAAATGTCTCACTTTTTACACATTTTCTGTCTCTTTTTGATAAATAGAAGGGAAGAGGCGTGTTGGGTCACGCTAGCACGCTGTGGTAGTCTGGTGGATACACGGTTATATTTAGTGCAGTTATTGCATTACAAAGCAACCATCCCAAAAAAACAGTAGTGCAATTTTTTTTTTTCTCTACTCACACAAAAAAGAGGAAGTCCAGATGGTCTAAGGCGTTTAAAGTTTTTCAATGTTAGGCTTTAGTATTGCATACAGAATAAGACAGAGGAGAACTAAATTATAACCCTTGTAAAAATTGTGCTTCATAAATTGAAAAAACCTCAACTGCTTTTATCAGTTGCTAAATTGGTCCGCTTTGAAAAAACATATTCTGCCAAAATATAATGAAAATAGCTAATTGGTGAACTAACACATGCAGGGCTTTAATAATTCACTCATTCCTTTTTTTTTTTGGTTTTTTTTTATCACAAATTTAAAAAATAAAATAAATAAATTCGCAGGCCTGATCTGGGACCGGGACAATTTTCTTAGTGAGTGACTTTTAAAAAGTGCGTCAAAACCAGCGTCCAGCCAATATTGTGGGAGGAAAAATGTCCCCAATATTCCGGTTTTTGTGGATAAATAAACTGATGCATTCTGATTTAATAAGTAAATAGTGTTGTTGTTGTTAGTGGTGTGAGGAGTGAGTAGCCCCAAAGACAAGACTATCACTACAAGACAACGAGGAGAATCAGAATCGATGCATTACTAAAATACTTAACTGTAAAAAGAAACAATCAGATTTTCATGCAACACTTGCATAGATTTTTTTTCTTATTTTTTTTTTCAATCATGCTGATTTTTAAAATTTTTTTTTTTTTAATCTCTTCAAAATATACAGAACACTAGATAGAGAGAGAGAGAGAGAAAAAGATACCTGTGAGACATGGAAGCAGTAAACCAGTAATTCCTAAAGCCAGCTGTTAACAGTATGTGAACAGAAGCTGCTCGTTTTATCAGCATCGCGTCCGAAACCCACCATCGGCTCATGGACTAATAAATGGCGCAGGAACAGAATGACATCGTGTCACGGGGAGGGGTGCTACGAGTCCTTCAGGAGCACGACACATTCGTTAACGTGGAGTTGAGCGCGATGAGTGTGTAGGACTTTACACCTGAGGATCTGCCTTGGTAAAAACCTAATCGACTGTAAAACTGCAGTACACACACACACACACGCAGAAAACGATGTTTGGCGCAGACGTACGAGGGGGGAGTGAGAGAAGGTGTAGAAACTTGTGGATGCTACAATCAATAACGTGCTACAATCGAATTACAGGGCGATCGGTTGGGTCGTAGAGACACCGGAGGAGGGGGGGGGAGGTGCAAAAAGGCATGCAAGCTTACATTCTCTGAAGCCTGGATTTTTTTTTTCAGAAGAGGAGCTGCGGCTGTGCAGCGTGTGCTCGATAATATGTGAATGATTCGATGTAAACAAGCAGTTTGGCAAATAATTCATCCTTTTAAAAGATAACATTCCCTTTTTCTTGGTTGTGTTTACATTCTCTGTGCCCGTGTTTTTTTTTTTTGCTTTTTCTTTTTTTAAAGATCTTCAGAGGTGTAAAGAGTGTGATTGTGCAACAGCAAAGACGAGCGATGCCCAGAACGTACTGTACTGTACTGTACTGTAGGTGACACTGACGCTGTGCTGCAGCTTTTGTACTGCTTACTTTCATTGTGGCCCTTTCAAAAGATTAACCCTATGTGTCTCCCTCCCGCCTGCCGCTCACCGCCGCCTTCAGAGTACAAACTGACTGAACACATGGATGGCGACATTTTTCTCTGAAACAACAAACAAGTTCATATTAACAGAATCAAACAAATATAGTAGCAATGAAACAAAACCAGGTTGCCCATTCAGTATATACATTGTAATCAAATGCATTACTATTTCCCATAAGTGGATTCAACAGTAGACATTCCTACATTAGTTTATCCGTAAAGATTCATTCAGTTCCTGTTCTGACATTAATGTGCAAATAGTCTTAAAATAATTATATCCACACATGCAATAGTAAAGATAGTTTTAAAAGTCTTAGGAATTTTAAGGCCAGTATATGAGACATCCTACAATAGAGAAACCTTAGGCAAAGCAGCTAAAGTTTGAGTTTGCGTACAGCTGGTAGCCTGAAACCTTTCCATTGCAGAGGTGAGTAGCCCTGTTGACTTTTATCTGAATCTGGAGAGGGTCATTACATCCTCTCGGTTTAGATAAACTGGGAGTCTGGAGGAGCGGCGGCTGGAAATACTTTTAAAAAATAGACCTACAGTTGTTTGCTTGATAGCCTCTGATGGGCGTCTGTGTCTGTTGGTTCCAGATTTAAAGTTTGGAGCTGATTTTGGGGGCGACTTTTTTCATCTCTAAGTAGTTTGTTTGGGAACGTACGACAGTTGGAGGGCTCGGGGAGATCTTGGTGTTGATCTGGAGGCCGGTTTGGGGGGGCTTGTTCCTCAGTAGGTGTCTCGAGGCCAGGGGCGGCTGCGCTGGCGGTTGTTCCGCTGGTTGTGACCTTGCTGAGCTTCGCGTTGGAGCAGCCTGTCCTGTGACTCGTGCCCGTTGGCACTGTGGGCACTGCCTGTGTGCCCACGGTGAGGGGGGTACATGTCCCTGTATGTGCGAGCATGGCAAGGGGAGGCGTACTCATCCTCCTCCTCTTCCTCCTCCTCCTCTTCTTCTTCTTCTTCCTCCTCCTCTTCGTCCTCCTCGCCCACCCTGTGGCACGGGCTCCCCCTCCGGCCGCGAGACAGGGAGTCGCTGGCCTCGTCGGACGGCATAAGACTGTCCTGCTCCAAGGGGGAGTGGGCCTCCTCGCCTGCCTCCTCCTCCTCACCCTCCAAGCCCACCGCCTCGCGAGGCTGCGGCTGGTTCTTGTTCTGGAGGATTCGAGAAGTCGCAGGAGGGAGAAGAAGGAAAGAAAGAGGGTCAAAAGAAGGCTCCATCTCAAATAGCTTCACACTTTGTGAACAACTTTCATAGACAACCAACACACAGAGGGTAGACAAATAATAACACTACATCAAGAAGGACTTTGAAGGAAATCTCCCTTAAAACAACACTCACATGCCCGTTTGTGGTTTTGTTGTGGTATTGGTTGCTACACTTGTTCCTCTGGTTTTCACACCGGCCACAAAGAGATCCCTTCCTAAAGGATTTGCAACTCCAGAGCAAACGTCTGAGCAATACTGCAGCTGAACGAGTATATAAGGCTTCAGCAGTTAATAGATTAACATCCCTTACATTGGAATCACTTTAGGAAGGAATCTTTTTACACCCAGTACACCCAGAGGAACAACCACAGCGACCAGTAACTGCTTCAACTTAGATATGGGCAATACAGTTAAATGAATCTATGACTCCCATGTGCGGGTATGTATGTTTTTTTTACTTTAACTTAGTAACTAACTTTTACTATAAGAAAGGAAACACAAGTCCAATGCAATCGAGACATAGGCTCTTGTTAACAATGAGCTATTGTGATACTTGATCCATTATATATATATAATTACTATCTATTTGTTTCTAATGACAATGCTACAAAACATTCTGGTGTTAGCTAAGTGACTATTTTCATGACAGTCCGTCCAATAGTGTCAACATCATGGTGGCACTGAAGTGAAAGACAGAGGATCAAGTCAGTAGGACTCATCCTGAATGTCTGTAGAATTCACATTAAACTATTTATGATGTTTAGTCTCTATTTCTAAGGTTCAAAGCCACAAGAGACAACGCAGAGAGCAACAAAGAGGCCTTAACTGCGAAATGTTCTTTTAAATGGTTTTAGAAAGTTTGTAAAATATCAAAACGAACATTGTGGGAAATCATGACAATCTACGCGTTGATGATGTTAATAATCGGCACGCAGGAGTGTTTGCAGTGTTGCTGAAGTCTCTTCAAAGTCCTTTTTCGTTAAGTGTTTACAGTGTTTTTTTTTGTCTGTGTGGATACAGATTAATACTCCAGACACAGAAATAAAGTAATGCCATTGAAACAGCTGAATGGATGGTCAGGAGGTTACTCTTGGGACATAAAATGTGATTGTACTGATGTTACGGTCTCTGTTTATTGTAAATTATGCATTTAGATCAGGTGAACACATTATTTAAGCATTGATCATATGCCTTTAATTAGCATTGTCATTCAAGATAGCATTGTGTGCCACTGTGAGCGGGGGCACCATTCACAAAGCATGCTCGGAACAAAGGATCGACGCCGACTGAATATAGAGAACAACGGTCAGATTTTGACATTTCATACAAACGTTTAGTAATTTCAAACATGACATTCTCAATTATGGTGTTAAATGGAAGCTGCTTTGTGAATTTTCTCTCAGAAAAGCTTGTGGAGCGGTGATTCATCTGAGACCGTCAATTAAAGAAAAGGAGGCAGGATGCAATGAAGAAAAACACGCCATCTTTTCTGTGGTGAGATCTGAATGAATAAAATGCTGTTCATTCACTGTCTCAGCCGCTGTGTCGTGTTCAGGTATTGGGGAGGTGTGTAAGAGGGGATTGTTGGGGTTGAGAGTGCAAATATATACAGTATATATATATATATAAACCCTACTACTCACCCCATTTTGTAAGCGATCATTCAATTAATTCCTGTGTTTCAGAAAACTGCAAAAATGTTAAGCATGGATGAGTGAGAGGACAGACAAGACAACTGGAGACAAATAAAAAAAACAAAGGTGAGAGAATCTGAGATGAAGAGCTGGTAAAGACAGTGACAACATACAACGTGTTCAAAACAGGATTCCTACTTAAGAGTCTTAAAACGATATTAATGCTTTATTTTCATGCTGCTATTTAAACACAAGAAGACAAACTCACCTGTAGGCTAGAGATGGCAGAAGGCGGGGTCATCAGACTCTGCTCCAATAAGGGGTTAAGAGGGGTGTTGCCTGGGAGGTGAGTGGCACGCCAGTAGACTTCCAGGTATTCAGCCAAATGCTCACAAGCATCTTCCAGCTGGTTCTCATCCAAAATGACATCAAACATATCCTACAAGTGAACACAAAGTAAAAAAAGGTATCACCGTAATGGTCTACAAGTGGCACGCAAGTAAACACCTTGTATATGTGATTAAAACAACACTAGGAGTCTACAGCTATTGTAGCAGCTCTATGAAGCTGTGCTTGTGTACAGTAGGGCCACAGGTTGGAGTCAAACTCATGGCTGCTGCAGTAAGGATGCTAACATGCTGATGTTTAGCAGGTTTAGTGTTGATCATGTCATTTTAGTTAGGCGTGTTTGCATTCTAACATTTACTAATTAGCACTAAACACAAAGTGCAGCAGAGGCTGATGGGAATGTCATTAGTTTTGCGAACACCAAAGTATTAAACAAATTAAGATTTTGACTCGATGATTGTGCGAGATGAAGGAAATTTCACTCAATCCATCCAGTAGTTCTTGAGTTATTACAATAAAGACCAAAAGTATTACCAAAGTAAATAGGCATCATCGTCTGGGGACCATCAATGGCTGAGTAAAATTCAATGGTATCTTATAGTTATTGAGATATTTCAGTCTGGAGCAACACTGCAGCCCTACAGCCACACTGCTAGCATGGTTTAAAACAGATGTTTGTGGTAGGTGCTCATAGAGAGATATTCATATTGTACAGATTGATTAGGAGTAGCACTAGAAAGAAATTCCTGCACTCACAGGGGGGCACTGAGAGAGTTTGTCTGCAGCCATCATCTGCACATTCAGGTGCTTGCTCTGAGACTTCCCCCTGGATTTGACCAGCCTCTGGAGCACCTGAGAGGAAGATAAAGTTAGTTAAGTGTCAAGGAGGAGGAGGCAGCCTGAATGCAACGTTCGTGACAGAGATAACATCCTGTACCTTTGGTGAGGAAACTTTAACGTAGACAATGATGGGTGCGAGGGAGGTTTTGGCTAGCTGTGCGGGATGGTTGATGGTGTCCGCGTCCAGAATCACCAGCTGCAGGGTTTTGGCGAGCTCAAATATCCTCTCAATCTCACTCTGAACCTCCGCTGCACAGACGAGACACATTACATTTTGTAAGCTTAAAGTCATTGCGTCTTTACACCAAAAGATTGTTTTCATGCTGACATTAGCGCAGTCACCTAGGCTGGAGCGGGTGTTGGATCTCTCCATTATGGGTCTTTTGTTGAGGACAGATCTCTTGGCTAAAGACAGGTCGGCAGTTACACGGGTGATTGAGATTCTGCAGTCGCAAATATAGAGAGGAAAATATATGCTGTGAAACATTTTGATTAGAGTTATTAAAGGTCTGACTATCCACAATAACAGAGATGAATATTTAATCTCTCGGTTTTACTGACCTTCCCTCAAATCTGTGTTTCAGGAAGTCAAAAAGAGCTTTCTGCATCATATCTGTCACCTATTGGAGAGTATAAGACGACAAAAACAGACTTGTTTAAACAGACAGAACACAAACTTACAAGAGAAATAATGTTGTTTTTTTACGTCAGGATACCAAAAGAACCAGACATAAGAGCAGCTTCCTTCCTCACACTTAAATTACTGTCAAACGTCGATCTAATCAGGTTGTATTACTGTAAATATACATGTATACAGAGGTGGGTAGTGTAGCCAAAAAGTGCACTCAAGTAAAAACATTGTTACTTTATAAAAACAAGAAGTCGACTAGAGGTAAAGGCAGTCATGAAAATAACTACTTGAGTAAGAGTAATAAAGTATAGATTGAAACAACGGCAGTAAGTAAGTACATTTATGAGTAAAATAATTTTTCCAGAATTAAATTTCTAGTATTAATCTCTGAAGTGTGATCATACAATTTCCATACACATGTAGTGTGACAAATGTATGCAAATGTCACATTGTGGAAGTATTGATTGTCTCACAAAACTTACTGGAGAAAGAGTAGTACTACATTAAAACTACTCCAACAAGTACAACTTCCTCAAAAGAGTTACTTAAGGACGTGTAGTACACTCAACATCAAGAAAACTGTGTCTATAAGACTAATGAACAATGTATTGAAGAGGTTTCCACCTAAAATTGGATAATGTTAAAATAATGAACATGGTTGAAAACTTACATACATTTAGACTCACTGTTAACGATTTTATACAAGTTATTGTTAAACCTCTCTGTCAAAAGCAGCATTTGAAACAATCAAGCCTCTTATGATGATACATTATCGTGACAATAATAATATTATAAAGGAAACTGATAAGATCACACCACTGTTGTTTTCTTAAGAAATTAACTGTGAAAGTTAATTCTGATTCAAACAACAAAAGCAGCAATGCGGGAACAGTTTAACAGAGAAAAGAGTGCAGGAGTGTGAGGCAGTCATTCTCTGTCTGCTGGAGGAGAAATGGGGAGAGTCTGACCTCATAGCCCTTCAGCGATGGTCCCACGAGGACCACCGGCCTCATAGAGGGCACCACGTCGTAGGGAGGGACATGTTCCTGCCAGAAATAGGGGACGAAGAGAGGAGAGGGATGAAGAACAGAGGGAGCAGGGGTAAGAAATTATGTGGGCAGGGTTTGTCTGTTCTGAAAAGCTAAAATAATAATAATCAGGGTTTCTCCAGAGTTCATTAAATTAAATGTAGTACTTTTTAATACCACATAGAATGAAACTGAATACCTTTTTTCAACAAACCTTTTTCATGGTCATAACAGTCAAATGATAGAAAACCAGTAGGGACAATAAGGCCCTATAAGGTTAACCAATGTTAGGGTCTACGGCAAGCAAGAAAAACTATTTAAGACCATCATAAATTAAATGTAAAACGTTTTAATACCTTATAAGGCTGTTTTATTGATGGAATTAAAAAAACAAGTGAATTAAATGCTTTTTAGGATCTCAAAACATGTAGATATCCTGATAATGTGCCTTAAAGTAAAAAACTATGTATCATGAGCACATGCTGTCTTATCCCAAACTGCCAAACACCTACCTGTTTTTGCTTCTGTTTGGCTTGTGAAAACAAGAAAGTCACAATCAATGAAAGAAAAAAGATAGAAGACAAACAGACGACAAAGTTTGTTTTCTGTTCCAGCATTAAGAGAAACGATCTGTTGTACTTACATTCACCTGCAGATGGCGGTGTGGTCCTCCAACTCCCAGTCACCATGTCCCCTAAACTAGAGGAGTTACCCCCTGTTTTCCTGCAACAACAACAACAACAAAACTAATTCATCAAACTTATAAAGTGTAAATGAGTCCTGAGAGAAGCTTCGTACTGTTAACCGACCTTTGTTTCTGCTCCTGTTTGAGTCTCATCGCCTCCAGTCGTAGAGGGCTGGGGATGAAGGTGATGTCTGCTCCTTCTTTTACTAGCCGGCCGATCCACCAGTCATTGTTATACTTCTGTTAAGTTCAGTGCGACAACAGGACCATGTCACGTATAAGTGTGTCGTTTCAATGTCATGGATTCGTCATCAGTAACAACAGATAATCACTCACTTCTTTGATGTGCAGGAAGTCTTTGGCATCGAAATTGACTGCAGCTCCTTGGACGGGACAGTCCTCATCCAGAGCTCCACAGTAACTCACATTCGTCTTTACTGCAAACGCTACAGGTTTGGACTGTAAACGAGAGAGCAAGAAAAACACTCATTAGTGATGGAAACTGCAGCGTAAAGGTAAAACAACCTGGAGGCGCTGCCTGCGTAAGCCGTGGTGACAGTGTATACGGATACGGATCTTGTGCTGTGTTTGTGTATGTTGCATTGTATGTATTTGTGTAGGACTACTCTAGACCTCCGGTTATCACATCGGGGTATAAAGACAATTGTGTTGTCAACAAAGAACAGACACCAACATGCCACAAATGAGGCTCAAATCTGAATTGTTTGACCAGATTTGTTTAGGTTAGAAATAATGTTTACATCCGAGATTTTGTAGCCTGAAACAATAAGCGATATTTAGTGTTAGCTACCTGTCGTTGATGGCCGGCCAACAGTAAAGTTAACCTGCTTATGCTGCTGTTTGTAATTTCATGATGACTTGTTTAAGACTCAAAATACAAAGTTTAGGACTTGAGACCTGTTGGACAAGACTTGGGGCTTGACCTCTGACTTCATGGCCAAGACTTGAGATTTATTTGAGACGTGCAAAACAATTTGTTGAACTCTGGTTTTCACTAAAAGCTCATTTTGGCTGTAGATGTACAAACATTTAACTCTTTGAGGTTTGGTTTATAAATCTTTACATACTGAAGGGTTAGAGTAGCAGAGATTGGTTCACAGCAACGCAGTTCAGTGACAAATCAACTACACACCCAGTTCTTAAAAAGGTAAACGACTGACTGAAAGCTGGATCATCCTCTACTCTGTTACACCACTAACTGGTTTATATACAGCATGTGTATCAGTGATGCTGCAATTAAACACTGTGCTTTAGTTGTGTAAACAACATCAGCGTGTCTAGATCAGAGATTTGTGCATGGCTTACGAAAGGATACAGAACGGCACCATTGCTGTTGTGGTCCTTGTTGCTGGTTGATATGAATAACAACATGAAGCAAGATGAGCGCAGTGACTGCTGTGCATCCAGTACGTTCTGGAGTTGGTTTAATGTTGAATATTAAGTGAAGAAAATTAAGTTTTCTTTCAGCTTTTTGAGGATCTGATGACGTGTGTGGTAGGTAACAGTAAGTCAGCAGTAGAAGCACACATGTGGCTCCAGACTTCACCTACACATATTTAAACTTTTAAACAACTTTTAAAACACTACAGTATGTAGAAGTGTAAATAAATCCCTGTCTGACGAACCTTAGCTCTGTCGAGCTGCAGCTGTGCCTGGCGCTCGGCTTCACGCCGATACGCCTCGCGGTCCTCCTCTGCTGACAGGTCTGAATCCGACGGTCTACTGGTGTACGAATCAGCCGACCCCTGTCAGGAGAAAGTCAGAGGTGGACATGGTAAGGATAAACATTATTTGTGCTATTGGAATGAATCATTTCATAACTTACATTCAGATCATCTAGTCATGCAAAGATTACTGAGGCATATTACTATGAGGTTAGATAGGTAGATCTACTGTTTCTGTTTATACTTCTGCTTTCATCTGCTTTTCTGTTCCACAGTCTCTGTGTGCAGGTGTGCATGCAAATACGTGTCTGTATTCATGAACACATTCATGTGTGAGCCTGTGTGTATCTCCAACACAATGCCTTTGCTCTCCCACACCAGCCATCTTCTGGTAGACCAAATATAGCACAAAGGAGGCAACTGCTTCCTCTTCTCTCCTGCTTGGCCCCAATCCATTCCATCATCCCCCACAGTGCAGCACATATACATCCTTTATTCCCCTGTTTATTCTCCAAGGACATCTCCTCATTAGCAAAATATATGCTGGCTATCATTTTTCATTGTAAGCTGTTTAAGGACATATTCCAGCGATGGTTAACACGTTATACTGAAAGCAACAGATAAAGCACACAAAGAGACATTTTACACAAAGTGAAATGGTGAAAATTGCTTCATAGGTGCTGCTGGCTTTAATTCAAAACCTGTAAGGCGGTTCCTGTGATTATTTTCATAAATGTCCATATATTGTAGAGCTTAATCGATTTGTCGTTTAATTGATCTGTTGATCAACAGAAAATTAGTCAGCAGCAACTATTTTGACGACCGTTTAAATCTTTTCTGAAGCAAAAACTGCAAAAATGTAACTATCTCCAGCTTCTTAAATGTGAAGTCTTCCTGTTTTTATTCGTCTTATTTAACGGTAAACGTGAATATCTTTGTATTTTAGACACCGTATACTCTACTCTCACCATGTACGTGGAAAATTATAATTTTTCACTGTTTACTGACATTTTAAAGTCAAAACGAATGATCAATTAATTGACTGAATAATCTGCAGGTTAATCCATGATGAAAATAATTGCTAGTTGCAGCCAAAGAGATTTTTCAAAGAGGAAAAACATGAAAACGAGAAGAACATAAAGTGGTGGATTCTAGATGCAGTTTGGGTACTCTGTGTGTGTGTGTGTGTGTGTGTGTGTGTGTGTGTGTGTGTGTGTGTGTGTGTGTGTGTGAGTGTGTGTGTGTGTGTGTGTGTGTGTGTGTGTGGAGCTCTCCTATATTTGGTATCTATTTGGCTTCTCTGAAGGAACTCAGTCCTGAATCTGTCAGTAAAGAAAACCGCTGCAGCAAAAACAAATCCAAGTCAGGCAAGAGAGAGAGAGAGAGAGAGACAGGAGACAAACAAGAAGTAAAAAGAATAAAAGAAGTGACGAATGAGACAGACAAGAAAATAGCTCTCACGGGTAACTCCGGTATTCATAATTACATTCATATATACTGAGACGATCAAGCGTGTTCTTGCAAATAAAGCAAGAAATGAAAAAAACAGCACATAATACAGTTTTTACTTTGGTTTTCCTCTCCTCCAGAGTGCAGTGACTTAGTCCTGGTCATCCATCTTGCCAACATATACAAACGAATCCTCGGGAGGACCAATTAGCATCAGCATAACAAAAGGAAATTCAGGCTCAAAATACAAAAAAAAAAAGTGCCCAGACATGAAAAACAACCACCACCTTTGCTTTCTCTGCACTTCAGAATGCGTACAAATAATCCAAAATAAATTTGTATCTACAATACCACTTCAAGTCCCAGAGAAACGGCAAGCGAACACCTCTCCTCGTTTATTTTTTTGTGTATGTGTCTATGTTAGATAACTAGATCTGATTTCTAGCACTCACAAGCTCTGCAAGGCAACACTGCACCAGCGCCAGAGCAGCACCGAGAGAGAGAAAAAAGGAGGGTGAGGAAGAACCGGGTAGATAGAAAGAGAGACAGAGAAAGTGGGGGTGGGTGGGGGTGAATATCTTTGACAAGATATACTGAAAAGAGAAGGATGTTTACGAGGACGAGAGAGTGACTGAAGGATGGTTGGAGAGGCTGGAAAGGTATAAACGATTTATACGACAAGATAAAGCGAGGCTATCTCAAGGGGAAGATGAGATTAGAACATAATAAAATGCCATGAAGGAGTGGAGTGAGACCTAGATATCTATCCTCATCGCAGATAGAAGAAAAGAGGGAAAACACAGCAGCAGGGGGGTGGTGGTGGTGGTGGTGGGGAGGAAGGAAAAGCCGTGACCACAAGAGACAAGAGACACACAGATAGAGACGGTCAGAGAGAGTTGCATACCTGGCTGATTAGGAGGACGGCGCTAGAGTCTGATAAAGACATGAATCTGAATTTTTCTGACTGTAACAGCTTCCCTGGTTCTCACTGGGAACGCACTCAAACACACACAGACATAAAAGTGGAATAAATATGGTGGTGGGCGCAGGGGAAAGGTGTTATGTCAGAGAGCTGTTTAATGATGTTAGAACACAGAGCGCTGCCTGGGCTGTGATTGCTATTCATTATTAATGTTTGGACTCTGCACACTCTCTGTCCTGGCTACCTGTCAAATCCTGCCAAAAACAAAACAAAACAGTGTAAGCACCACTGTAACTGAACAGAAAAACTGTGTATTTTGCAGGCGAAGCTACGCTGCAATGCAGAGTGTAACGATGTGAGTACATCTTTATTGTCTGGTCTGAGGATGCCTTGTTTTTTTTTTTCTTTTACTGCTAATGTCCCCGTCTGGGGGCTAAATTTAACTCTGTTCCTTCCTATTCTGCTTCTGTGATTATTCTTCACACACTGCAACACTGATGGCCTCAACTCCACAGGGAGGGGCCAACAAGGAAGTGTGTCATCCAGCTAGTCGAGTCCTCAAGAGGACCAAGTCATCCCACAGTCTAGGGACCGATTATCTGATCATTATTTTACATTCAAATGTGATTTCATTTGCTTTTGGGGGGACATGTAGATGCTTTCACCACTGGTCCTGTTCTTAAACTGTAGGTTAATTAACTGGTTGACCATGGTAGATTATGTACAAGAGCAACTGTAAAGCAGCAATAATTTATCAAAATGTAAACAATACCCCACAAATAAATCTATAAATGCAACAATGTGCTATCTCAAACTGACTGACGGGTCTTTTAACACCAGGAATAACACAAGGCAACTAATAAACCTATTCTGATGTTATTAAATCTGCATTTATTGATTTTTGGCCGACTTGAGAGCAGCACAACATGCTGTAAGCACAACATTGACATACGACCAACATATAGCGTTAGCAAAAATCATTAGCATTCACTGCATGTTTGTGTCCACCTGATGAATCCAAGTCAAGAAGTCCAATATTCACTCTCCTTTTAGCTCTGTTTTTGGTCTCCACCAACCGACTGTGTCTGTCTGTTGAGCAGGTAGTGTACAGTGGGTTTATCAGGGCTATTTTTCTTCCTGAAAACAGTGGCTGAAACAACCTTGTTGAGAGCCATGAGAGGGAACCAAAACAGTAAAGTTATGGTGTGGAAAACCAAAACAACAATTACAACTTCTAGAAAAACTATGTAAGATTCCAGACATCCATTGCCATTTGTTTCCTTTACACATAATTAACTGGAGCCTCATAAGCTAAGATTTTGCAGATAAGATACTTCTGTTAAACGTTATTATCAGCCAATAACATTGATGAACCAATAACGTGTCTACCTTCCCTACAGTACAGACACTATAAAACACACACATACTAACACACTAACAAGCATCAACATGGAGACATTTTCAGAGTAATTTAACATTTTAAGAATCTTTGGCATGTACTTTTAGTTTGAACGTGCAAAAACCAACGAGCTCATCGAGCAGCGCGTTTGTCCAGTCAGGTGTAGAAACAGTTCATGTTGATGTTTGAATAAAGAAGAGAGGTTTATATTAATTATTGCACATCCTACTCACTAAGTGACATTCTGTTTAACTTGATAAATAGACACAAGATGTCAGACCACAATGAGCAACGGGAAAACTGAGTGTGATAAGGTGTTACCGCATGCCAACACAACAGGTGTTCACTGTGATAGATTACCACTTTTAAAATAAATAGACTAAGACTAAGAGTCTACAGCCACGCTAGCGGCTCTGTGATACTATCCTCACGGTCGGGTCATGCTCGAAAATAATTAGTTTGTGTGATGGCCGACTACGTTGCGAGGGAAAAGCATTTATAGTTTTTCCGAACAGCCATACTCAAACTTTGGGGTGAAATGCTGGCCTTCATAGAGAGGGGTGAGACGTGAAATTGTTTAAATATGGGGATAAAGGTGTGCACTTTCAGACATTCTCTCCTAGAAGACATTCATGGTGTTGCACGTTTGCATTAAATTGAAAACAGAGAGCTAGAGAGAGAAGATCAAACCATGCTTACTCTGTCACCTGCACACAGCTGACCAATCACAGCGTGACGTGGACCTGAATGTGGTCGCTTTTAGAAAAGTTACGCCATGTTTGATCATCTGACAAGAAATTCTGTTGAATCTTAATTGCTCCTTTAGGCACACCTGTGCTTTCACGCATAAATCCACGCATGACACTGCTAACATGCTGATTTTAGCAGGTATAATATTTATAATGTTTATCATCTCACTCATGAGACTGAGGCTGATGGGAACCTCATTAGTTTTTACTGATATTTGGTCATAAACCAAAGTGCTGAACGTTTGACCAGATGACGGCACTGAATGAACAACTGCAGGATCACCAAAGTTACATCAACTCATCCTCTGGGGATCATAAATGTTTTCATGGCAATACATCAAATAGTTGTTGAGTCTGGACCAAAGTGGTGGACTGACCAACAGACTGACACTGCTATCCTGGAGCCACAACACTAGCATGGCCAAAAACAATGGGCACCTAGATAGCAGGAAAAACTACTGCACACCATTGGTGGTAATGTTGAGTACACACAATATAATAAATAATAATAAATAGATTAAGAATGCAAAACACAGTATGTTTCTTATGTTAAATAACATGCAGGGAGTGCACGCTAATGCCAAAATCATATTTCTCTGCCTTTATTTGCAGGAAGGAGATTCTGCACAACAGCAGAATATATTATTCAAGAGGCTGAAACACTTTTCCCTCTGAGCAAAAAAACAAAAAAAACTGCAAGCTCCAGCGATTTGGAAATCCAGTAGCCAAATATCCAATTTCAAAAAGTGTTCGATTAACTGTGCAGTCGTAATTCAATGTCAGCAAGTTACACATGCACAGAGCTCTCTGATACACAAAGCAATAAATCACTCTGTGGTTACATCAATATCAAAGTCAAGATCAGGCACACTGTATGTGAAATTGATCAATCTCAAGACTCGGCGAGGAGCCGTGAAAAGACACATGGGTTGACGGTAATCAAAAAAGTAAAGCAGGTGAAGGGACGAGAGAAACAAAAAGCGGTTGTGGAAGAGGGGAGGACGAGATGAAGGAGGAAGACAAAGAGAAGCCCGAGAGAGGAGCAGGCTACAAATACGATGGAAATGCTACAAAGAGACATTGGAGGAGACGGGAGGAGTTTCAGGCAGGGAGAAGAAGAAGCTGACTGTGTCGGAAGTCATTTGTACTTACTCAGTTAATGTGGTGATGCCGCTGCTACCGGTCCCTCCCTCTCTGTACACTACATGCTGTAAAATGCCGACAGACTGTGCCGTGTCCCGTCCGCTAACCAGGGACGACCTGCACTGGAGCAGACAACGGCAACACCTTCTTTTCTATTCTTACCCCACCTCATCTCAACCCGGCACACACACAAGAACAACCAACGCAGCTTTTGCGTCACTTGATCAAACCCCCTCTCTGAATTTACATCACACTCTTAGTTATTTAAGTCCAATTCAACATGCACAGGTAGAGGGAAAACGGGGGGGGGCTGCTGGTTGTAACACACATAGCTCAAGATTTCTCCTCCTGTTTCAAAGCCTCATGTCCCACATATAACACATATATCCACACTTATGGCAGCATACTGCTTATTGTATCCTGCTGCAGAAATGAGTCATACTCCACTGCTCCTCCATAGACACCCCACCCCTATCACAGACAAGAAACTATCTGCTCTGTTTGTGAAATTTACTCCTTCTGCATTAAACACTTTGTCATATCACCTATGGGGGGGTTGGATGCCTGTTGTGCGTGCAGAGAGAAGGTAATGATTGAAAAGAAAGTAAAGGTGCTGGTGTGAACAATGAACCCACACATCACATCGCCTGAGGCCTTCAAAATGAGCATCATGAATATTTTAAGCCGTGCAATATTCTCAGGGAATCTGGAGATTGTCATTAAGCCCCCCGATCAGGATAACTAATGTCCCCCTCCTGAAGAAGATGTCTGCTCAGCCCTTTTTTTTCCTTCCCTTCTCACTAACGTCCCTCAGTAACACTGCTCCACATTCCCTCACACCAGTGGTGCTCTGCATGAAACAGAGGTATTTTTCATAATGTTCATGTGCAGCTCATGTGTTCAGGTGGCCAACAAATGACTCATTCTGGAAAAGAAAGGAATATCATGCCTCTAGTTTTTATGAGTGGATTTTAATGCAGAACTTTATTTAATGTGTTTCCATGTCTTTCTTTTCAGCTACATTTCGTAGCTACATCTTGCATTTTAGAGCTGCAACGATCAATCAAAAGAAAACTAATTGGCGAATGTTTGACTCATTCATGCAACAAGGTCAGAAGCTGGTACCAGCTTCTCAAATATGAGGATTTGTTGCTTGTTTGTATCATATATGATACATTTTTTGGTTTCGGACTGCAGGTCGGGTAAAGCAAGCAAATATGAGAACGTTAATTTGGTTTTAGGGAAGTTGCGATGGCCATTTTAATCATGAAAGTTAGAAGAGTGCACTCAATAGAGTGCAGATCTCCACCAGCTGTGTCCCGACTTCCTTACAGTCAAGATGGAAAAGATACCAAAAACAGGGATTTATATATCTTGTGTTGTGCCTAACTTTAGTGGATAATAACGTAACAAGTATAGAATTACTCTGCAGATTGTCCGGTTCAAGATGTGACCAAACCTTTTTATGGATGTCAGTTATTGAGACTCAACAAAGACTGCAACAGACTTGGTAAACTTTGTTTTTAGCCTAGCCGACTACCAGAAATGCTTTCTGCTATGTCGGGGTGCGTATCCTAAAATGACAAAATACTGCTGACAGTTTAACAAGAATGAGGAGTCAGCAGTCAATCAAATAGGTTTCTCTAAAGAATTCACCGCAACCACGAGGTCTTTGAGCGTACAGTCATACATGTGCACAGAAAATATGAGGCTGACGGGTCCAGTAGTATGTGAGATTATCTGTAGACAGATACACACACGACCAACACACTCGATAATAATCTGATAATCTGATTTCACTCTTTTTAACATCAGTTTTGAACATTGAATACAACAGACTCTGCTTTTCCTTTATTCACTAAATAAGCTTTCCTTATTTTGAATGACTTGATGAAAAATGCCTTCAACGAATGATCAATTATCATAATTGCTGCAAATTATTTCTCTGTTGATCTACTAATCAATTATTTATAAAATAATAGTTTCAGCTCTAATTTGATATTTGAGTTGTACTATTTTGGGAACTTGTGAGAGACGTTTTTCACAATTTTCTGATGTTTCATAGACAATTAAGAGACCGTGGTAAATGTTAAAACACAATGTCAGTTACACAGTAGTACTGTACCTGTCCAACATTCGACCACACTACTGGTGAGGCTGGTATAAGCAGCAAAACACCCGAGTGTGATGAATTAAGTTTAAAATTAGTTTTATTGCTCATGAATGGCCCTTTTATTTGTAAGAAGAAGATTGTATTGTATGTTATACTGATCTGTATTTATATATGACCAAAAGAAAACTGCAAATTCTCCTTCTCCTCCTTTTAGCTGACAAATTACATAAAATCATGTTTTAATAATTATTAATTATCAAAATAGTTGCTGATTAATTTGACCTATTTTACAAAATTTACAGATTATTCAACTAATCCATAACGTTAGCGTTGTTATGTGATGTTTTAATGAACCTCCAGATCGGGCCACAATTTTCCACCTTGGTGAACAATGAAGTTTTAATCTGTTTTAATCCACTCTATTCAATCCTACTCTAATAGTTTCAGCTCTAGATTACTTAATCAGGACTAAAAGGATACTTGAGACATATTCTACAGACAGTGTAAAAGCCTGCAGTACAGAGGGAGCCTTGTAGTTCCTGTCATTAATACATCAGGCTCTTTAAAAAAAAAAAAAGGGAGGGGGGGGATATTTGAATCCTTCCCAACTCCTGACTCTCCCTCTTTGATGTATCGAGGCTCATGAACCTCAGGGATCTAGCGGTTTGGGATGAGCTCTGCATGCACAGTCCGTCTGTAGCCCGGTGAAACCCTCTTGACTCTTCACAACCTGATTTGTACAGGGATCAAGTTCTCCCCTCTGCTGGACTCCCTGTGAAACTACAACCAGCTCCTCTTTACACCCAAATCAAATCCATCTTCAGAAACAACACATGGGGGGGAGATTAAAACGGATCTGATCGCACACCATCAAAACAGCTGATCTAGATCAGCGGGAATGGTACACAACAGCCGTACAACAACAGCACAGAGGGGGAATCTGAAGCTACGACTCTTTTGCTTATTTGTTATTGCTAGAAATCGTCTTAAATAACACCAAATCTCCATCTAAGTCCTCAACACGTGCTTGACCTGAAAACATTAATTAGAAAAACTGGGCTGTGGTGGGATTTAGATGTAACACGCAGACACTTCGAAGCATTTTGCTGCTCTCTACTGGTCTGAACAACCACTGAAACTGCGGACACAACTCTGTGGATCAGGATGCAGAGCAGAAACAATAATGTACTGGATCCAAGGATAATAAATACAGACCTACAAATGTGTTTTTGTAACTATTGTGAGTGTAAAAGAGGAACCTTGACACTCAACACCTGAGAAATAATAGCCTTGCCGCACCAATAACAACAAAGCAATGCAGGGGACACCTGTTTGGTTTGAAAAAGCTTCAATCCTTTATAGCTTTACTCAGAACGCAACTTTCCTACATTTTCCATAGAAGCTACAGTCATTCCCTCAATCGGTGTGTTAATCTGCATATCGGCTGTGATGTGCCAAGGCAGGATGGAGCCTTCAATGTACGCATACATGCATAAATGAGGAGAGGGAAAAAAAAGCCAACAAATGGCTCAGAGGGCTTTTACCTGCCGTTTGATGAAGCTGGATGTTGTGTCAGAAGACGTGCTGCCATCTGAGCGTTTGAAGCGGCTCTTGCGTTTAGGCAACTTCCTGGGAAGCTACGATGAAAGAGACAGACACAAGTGAGATAGATTGAGATAGACAGACAGACGCCAGCTTGCACCGTGCTGATTTTTAAGGCTTTTTCTCGTGCAATTTTGACTAAACACAAGCCTACATTTTAAGGAAGAACTGGTGTAAAAGAGCTGCTGTGCACCAAGAGCACTGACTATAAACAGCTGTAGTTTTTTTTTTCCTAATTAGCTGCACACATACTGGTCAGATCTTTCCTCAGGCCCTCTTGAAACACAGTCCATTAATAAGAAAGCCTGCATGTTGCAGTGTGTGTGTGTGTGTGTGTGTGTGTGTGTGTGTGTGTGTGTGTGTGTGCAGACAGGCCCTGTAGATTCAGGCTACAGGTGAGTCAGAGCTCGGAGTCTGTCACCAATAAAATTCAGCATACAGGTCCAATCGTGTTAGTGTTTTTTTTTGTTGTCCCCCCCCCAACACCATAAAGCATATATAAGCATGAAATGCGACTCAAAACACACAATAAAAACACTAACACACAATCCATAAAAGGCAAATATGTCAGATGTATCAACATTTAAGGAGATTGTATCCTGTTTGTGTGTACGGGAGGCATAATAAACATACTTTATATGCTCGCATCCAATGGGATTTTCAACGATCAAGCATCAATCTGCAGTTTCAATGAAGGCGGAGGTACAAACACACATACACTACATTAAAAAACAAAAAAAGGCATACGACAACAAGTAGCAAGACATTAAGCACTTTACTCGGCGGTGATGGTAGTTAGACGTGTGAATAAAGGAGTACAGTGTGTGGATTTACCTGAAAATAGTGCGATTGAGAGCCTGTTTCCACAGCAGACAGTGGGTCTACGGGCGATTTGGACATTTTGACTTGCACCATCTATTGAGAGCGCAGGGAGGCGGGTTGCACACAGACATGGGTTACTGGAGGAAACAAGGGACACAAAATACATCTAATATATGCGGGGAAAAGGCGAAAATATGGAGGAATTAAATAAAAAAAATGATTATAAAAAGAGCGGTTTATATCCGAGGCTCAGCTGATGGTGGAGGGAGAGGCTAGCTGTTACTCCTAAAAAATGTGTGTTACATCGAGGGGAGGAGGAGGAGGGAAATGTTAGCTTAAAAGCGAGCAGGAAGGGGAAAAAAATAAAAAAAAATAAATAAATAAAAGGAGCTAAAAAAATAAAAAATAATAAAATTAAAAAAAATCAACCGTTAGGACTGAAGCGTCATCGCTCGAGCAACCGTTGAGGTCCGTACTAAGTGTGAGTCTCCGCCGGGGGTGTCAGGGTTGGCTCAACTGCCACAAAACGGTCAATTCACGGCGAGATACGGAAATTAAAAAAATGTAATATACTTTGTTTTAAAAGGGTGTTCTTTTTATATCACCTCCGTGTGTCCTCTCTCGATCTCTATCTCTCTTCTCTCTCTTTCGTCTGTGCGTAATATTTGTTTGTTAAATGACGGTTTGGATAGTAAACCACAGTCAAATGTAGTATGTGGAATATTCAAAGAGTGGATATTTCGGGGGGGGGATCATAAACGGAACCACACATTTGTTTGTTTTTATTTTTTTATTTTTTGTAGCACAAATACACATAAAAATCATAATAAAAACGTCAAATTACAAAAAAAAAAAAAAAAATATTTAATTGTTTTAATTAATTATTTGTAACACACAGTAATGTAGCTGTAGGCAGATGTAAGCGTTAATTAGTGGCAGTGGTGCCTGGAGAAGTGGGTGTACTCTTAATTTATGCCACAATTTAGATTTAATTTAAAGCATGTAAGACTACTTTTGCATATTTAACAAACAAAAAAATGGGCCAGTAGTATATTTTCCACGTTGTCACTTAACTTCTGCTGCTTGGGAGGATTATTATTAAATTAACATTACATTATGCATTTTGAGTGAAGTGTTCCCTACTTATTTACTTACTTTTACTTACTCATGAAAAACCCACACATTAGAGGGGATTTAGAAAGTAGTATACCCAATGCTGACTGAAAAATAAGTGGGTATTCTCCATATACCTGCATATACCCTATATACTGTCAGTGAGGTCAACTAAGTACTCATGTACTGAACCTGGTGGTGGAGAAAGAAGTAGCATCCTTTACTTATGTAAAAGTATCAATACGACACTGAAAATACTCAACTACAAGTCAAAGTCCTGCATTCAAAACTTAAAATATAAAAGTGTTATCAGTGAAATTTACAGAAACAAAAGTAAAAGTGCACATTATGCAGTAAAATTGTCCCTGTCAGTGTTTTACTTTTATATATGATGATGTATTGTTGCGACAGTATTTTCCAGGTAATCCAAGGAAGGGTTTAAATAGTTTATTTAACTTAAGAAGTCGGAGCACTTAATCCTTCAGGGTACTTAGCTTGTCTGCTAAGTAGTTGTCAGGTAAATGTAGTAAAAAGTAAAATATTTCTCTCTGAAATGTAGTTGAGTATAAATATAAAGCAGCAGATGATGGAAATAGTCAAGCACAAGTACAGCACTTGAGTAAATGTTACTTTCCACCACTAATACGTATGTGTGGTGGGACTCTGTACAGCGCTTTAATCTGGATATTTTAATATAGATGTAATTCCCTATGATTTTAATGTATCAATTGGCAATGTATGAGTTGTCTAAGTCCATAATAAAGACTCAAATATCGGGAAAAAACAAAGAGAGGACTTATTTTCTATTGATTAGGCTTACTTAAAGGCCCTGCATACTCAAACAGGTGTTTTGTGTGGGTGTGTAGGAGCTTTAAATTAACTTGTTTGTCCTGCAGTGATCTAAATTTCCATTAGAGGCCAAATTATGTATTGTCCCATATGAACTTATGACATACATAAGAAGTGACCTGTGAAGGAAAATCTTTCCCAAAATTAAAATTAAATTGGAAAATGAAACATGGAAAATGAAAAGTGAAAAAAATAGAAATTGGAAAAGGGAATTAGATATTAAAGTTTGAAGCAGTTTGTCATTTCAATATCTGAGTATCCTGTTTACAACTTATCCTCCATATATGCCAGGGAAAAAGTATGAATAAATTGAAGCCAGGGAGCACTGAAAAGTTTATTTTTCAGCAGTAAAATGTCTCTCTAAGTATCACAAATCACTATAGTTTTATTTTTACAGCCTCTAATTACTGATAGTTTGGTCTTATTCTTATTAACCTTATTTTGAGCAGCAACAGGCAGTTGTTTTCAGCAAAGAAGCGACTTTATGCTACCTGCCCAACACCAAACTGAAGGCCAGTAAGTCTCTAGTCGCTAGTAAAGAAAGTGAAAGTGAAGAAAATAAAATATCTAAGACCCTAATATTTTGGGGTTTTTTTGTATTTTGTTTTGTATATTGAACACAGGCTATAATATGTTAGCACTGTCTTCAAGTTCTGCTGCCCCTAGTGGACAGAAATTATTAATTCAGCATTAGCCTAAGATGTCGCGATTTGCGATATGATTTGCGATTAGTTTGTGTCATTTTTTTTACATCACAAATGAGAATTTTGCACTTGGTTATATTGCGGTTAGTAAGCGCTGCAAATAAAATCCAGGAACTAACATTAACTGCTGTTCATGTGTTGATTTTTATGTCTACATCCATAAAATACACAATAATTCACACGTAAACGAGAGTTGTTGCAGTGTTCAGTACTGTTTACCAGCTGTTTCTTTATGATAGCCAACTGGTAAGTTAGGCTTATCGTCCCAGACCTACTGCATCAGTTTCAGCACATAAACTAATATGAAGAGACCTTTTTCACTGCAGCCCTTTTGACATGAAATAGTAGGTTAAACACAGGTTGTACCAATTATAACACCTGTTTTTACCCGACTATTTCATGTCAATGGCCAGTGGCAGTGCAGGGTATTCACAGTGTTTACATTTCAGTCAGTATTGGGTGTATCCCCCTGAATATTTGACTCAAAACGCATAATTATGTAGTTTCTCACTCGTATGTGGGTCAGTAACAATTTAAAAATCTGCAGCTCTTACTTCCTGAAGTCCAGCAGCAGACGTTAAAGGATAATGTGCAGATGCTATTGGGGGAACTACATATGCAGTAGTACTCCTTACATGTCACTGTCTGTAATACAGGGTGTTTATCCTTTGCCGGACAGAACAAATGGGGCATAAATGAAGATACCACTACACCACTGTCCATGGCTGCTGTGAAAAAGGTATGTTTAGTAACTGTAATTGTCATAACTGTGGGTAAAACAGCATGTAAGTACATTTGTCCTTTACAGTTACTGATACCTCATTGACCTTCAGCTTTTTACAATACTCTGCCTCCTTCATGATAGCCCCGTAATCGTCTGAATTACCTCTCTGTCTGTTTCACTCCGTTCATTCAGCCTCACATCAGCTGATTTTCTGATTTACTGAACAAATTGAGAGATGTGTTGTGGTGATTCAGACGTCTTACCTTTGTGTGCCATCTTCCATGACTAACCCCACCTGTTGCTCCAACCCTTCTCACCATTCTCCTGGCTGCCCTCCCCGAGCAGACGTGTTGACCTGCCTCGCAGACTAGACACCCCAGGTAGTGATATTCCTCATTTCTATAATGTTGACAACCCTGCTACCTTGCTGTGGCTTTGATTCGTGCACACTGGTTTTCTCCTCTGGTTTCAGACTCCAAATCCCCCACCACCCTGCTGGCTCATCGTCGGCCTTGTTGACGATGTAGCCAATGATTTTATAACATAAAGTAGTAGGCAGTTCTCCATGTAATAGATCCTGCTTTATTCCACAGACACCTTAATTGTTACACTAAGTTCCTCCAAAAGCCAAATCTCTACTGTCCATAAATGTAAAGTACATGTTTTTAGGCAGATTAAACTATTAGTGGGTTTTGGGGCAATAAAACACCTTTTTCACAGCAGCCTGTTATAACTACTATAACTTCAGGTTGCTGCTGTTGTGCATGTTGGCTCACTGGAAAGTCTCTGCTACACTGCGTATTCGTGTGGACAGGCCCTTAAATGGAACTGAACCTTAATTAGTGTTGTTGGTGATTACCCGACTATTTCATCTCAAAATGGCTGCTGTGAAAAAGGTTTTGCTATCACAACACACACAGTAAACAATACCTGTGCGTTAATTTGAGCTAATTTGATTTAAAACAACTTTATTTGCACCATGTGAGCTCAATTTTAACTAAAATAATAAAAGACAGAGTCACAAGATGAATTCAAAACCTGCCTTTGTTTATTAAGTGGCACAAATTCTCAAACAAATTAGCAATTAATAAAATTACCAAACACATTAAGTTGAACCAGGAGGGGTTCAACTTGTAGCTTACAGCATATTATATAGACTGTTGACTATTTCCGTGCAGTGTACCCTGTTCATTTCTGTTTGTTTAACACTTACAGTCTTTGACAAGGCCTTTATCACCTGTCGCCTTTTGTAAACATCATGTCTGATTTAGTTTAGGCACTGACAATAAATCAGTAGATATTTCTTAGAAACCAGAGCCTGTAATGAGCCGGGTTCAGTTCCAAGAATTCACTGTTGTTATATGGTTTGTCAGCACTGATGAGTTTATTGTTGCTTCCATCATTTCGATTTTAAAGTAAAATGTAAACATCTTGAGCCGGTCTCTCATATGAAGCATATGAGTAAATTATCTTGTTACAGAAATGGACAAAACTGAGCCACTAAACCCAGATATCGACTTTTAAAATCCTACTTAAGTAAAAGTATCATCAGCAAAATAAAAATAAGTAAAGTAAAGCTACTTGTTCTGTAAATAATGTCACCTATAATCTATTTTAATTATGATTGTTGTTTCTTTTTAATGCATCAGTGTTCAAGTTAGAGTTTTAACTGCTTTATATACAGTCAGGTAGGTTAGTCTAGTGGTTCCCAACATAAGGGTCGGGCCCCTTCGAAGGGTCACAAGATAAATCAGTGGGGTCATGAGATGATTAATCGGAGGAGAAAGTAGAAAAACGTTTATTTATGTTCATTTTTATGCTGTTAATCATACAAATGTGATAAATTTACCTCTCTGGGCCTCAGTCAGAGGTGGCAAAAGTTCATTCTTTACTTAAATAGAAGTAAAGATGTATAAAAGTAAACTTTCTTTGTTTATCTGAAGGAAATTTCTAGCAGCTGTTTCTGAAACGTTGTCAAAGGGCCCTGACTGCACATACTTTTTAACAATGTGTTGTATTTTAGAGCCTTATATGTTGACATGTCAAACACGGGTGTAAATAATACAACTGATGGCTGAATTCCATTTAGCTGCTTCTGTTTAAGGCTCCTGGTTGTGTGCATGCAGCCTCACAGACCAGAGCCATCGTTAATGATATTAGTGACACCAGATAAGTTCTTATAACTGATTACATCTGCATTTTGTTAGTACAATTAACTGCATTTTGTAAGTTAGAAACATCATTGTTCAAGTAGCTTTAGTAATTTTAAGTGAGAGTGACTTAATTATGTAAATTATATTTGTAC